TTATATGTTTAATTAATGCCAGATATTAATAAAATCCTCTTAACAACATAAATTAAATTACTTCAAATAAGCTACAGATCTTGATCAAAATAAACATCTAATTAATTAATAAATAGTTTTCGCAGCAGCATAATTTTCTCAGTAATTAAGGCTTAATCACTCTTGCTTCAGCTTCCGTGGAATTCGGAATGTACCTTGCCCACTGCCACAAAAGAAAATCAATTCAGAATAATCAACCATTTAATTAGAAGCAAATGATCGTACTTTAAATTTAATTAAGGATAATAATTAATAAAATCTCACATTCTTTGCAGCTGTACTGAAAGCCTCCCGATGGGGTATCTCCGGATTCGCAGTTTTTATGCGCTTTATCTCCTCCCTGTCCCGGAAAATGTTTCGACATTTTTACTCGTTTATTCGACAACAATATTTCAATTTACTTTGAGTCTTACTACTAGCAAAAAAATATTAATTATTATTATTATTATTAAATATATATTATAAACATGATCTATATATTGTATGCATAATATATATATATATATATATATATATATATATATATATATATATATATATATATTAATTTCTTACTTCATGAACCGATTGTAGGCAGATGGAAGCCTATGCTTCTTCTCAGGAGCTGCAAAACAATTAGATATTCATTAAAAACAACATTAAAAAATTATATTAACAAACAAACTATATATATATATATATATATATATATATATATATGTACGTTTGACGACGAATGGAGCTCGTGGGGACAAAGAAGGATCTGTGGATGTGGATGTGGAGGAAGACGAAGACGAAGGAAGGCCGCCCTTCTTGAATTCACTGCACAAACTCTGTATAATTGCAGAAATATATATATTATAAGCATTAATTAAATCAAGTATGGATTAATTTAATTTTCTTTAATTTGTGGTATAATTAAAAATAAAATAAAATGATAAAGTTACCTGATGGTGAAGAATGGTTTGTTGGTCAAAGCATTGACCTTGAACTGGAGGCTTAGTGGTGAGGAAAGAGAGATTACTGCAGTGCCCACATTTCACAGTCACTGTTTCCATCAACCTCTTGCATGGAATTCCAACCTGTCATCATATATATATATATACACACATGAAAAGACACACACATATATATACATATATGCTACTTAATTTGACCTATTTATACAGATTACAGCGTCTTTTAACATAACATAACTTGCTGCTATTTTTTTTTTTGTTTTTGCTAGGAATATATACCTATCTAGTAGATATACATATATACTTATATATATAGATATATATATTTATAGGATTGTTATTATAAATGTACGTACCGCAAGAACGGTGGTGCAGAAGTTGCACCGGACATAGCAAAGATGCTCAGATGAAGGAGCCAAATGGTCCATGTTGACTGCTCTGAACTTGTGATATATATATAGCTCAATGTGTATGTATATATATATATATATATATATATAGCTAGAGAGAGAGAGAGAGAGAGGGAGAGAGAGAGAGAGATGTGTAATAATAATGAAGAGGAAGAAGATGGTATTTATAGAGGGAGGTAGATGCTATATATAAAAATGAAGTTTAGGGTTTGTTTAACAGCTGGATGAATTAAGAAAATCTAGGGTTAGGGTTACTGAGTTGGTCATACAGTACTAACATTTCTGACTAGCAGACATACATCATAGGGGTGGAGTGGGGTATCATCATATTTTATATCTATTGTTCATTTTTATATATATATTTAAATCTGCAAACTCATTACTTATGGATGAATTAAGAATTAGTAAATAATAAAAACGTTAAGGAAGAATTGGACAAGAAGATGAGGTTTTGTTGAGATGTAAACTACTGCAACATGTGGTACGTAGTACTATGTCTTAGGATTTCACCACAGTCCTATATATTATGATATGTTGGATGCTGTGTTTGACTGTTGTCTCTTGGCCTATAGCTATAATGTATAAAAGAAATATATATAATTGAGTAAATTTTTTTTTTATATATATATATATATATATATATATTGATACGTTTTAGATATTATATTTGTTTGATTTATGAGAATGTATGATATAAACTATGTCGCCCATACGGGCCTAGTCCACATGAATGAGATAAAATTGCACATAAAATTCAAGTAGGGCGGCCTAAAATCAGAAGCCCTAGTTCGGTCACATAGAGCATCAGAAACCCTAGCAAGGGGTAAATGTTTTTCGCTCACACGTCGTATGACGACACGAGGTGAATTCATAGGTGTTATGTGTGACCTAAAACTCCATTAAATGTGGCAACCCTAAATAAGAAGGTAATTAGGTCCGAAACTCTAATGAAGCTTACATCTTAAGAAAGAAGATATCTATTAATAGGGAGTTCACTCAAACTTTTTACTTCTTAATATAATATACGTTTTAGTATCACTTATAACATCCACACAAGTACAAACTCTAACTTGGTCGTCGGAGCTTTTAAGACGGGAAAATCCCCTCGGTCTTGCAGGAACCGATGGCAGATTGAGATTCCGCGGCAAAATTAGAGGCTGATACAAGAAGAACCAAGTTGACATCACGTTTAAGTCCTAAACCCAGCACATCGAGAACGATCAATATATTACGTTAAATCGGATGTTCTCGGTGATTAGGTTAAACAATAAATTAGAAAATAAAAAAAAAAGCAAGAAACACATAAGATTGGAGAAGATAACAAAAAAGTGTGTTTTCAGTTGTGCTCGTTAGAATGAATTAATATGTCCATTATACAATAAAAATCGAGACCCATTTTTATGAGTTATTAAAACTCGCCTAGAACCCCCAATTTCTCATGGACGGCCAGTTTTTACCTGCCTAATAGTTGCTAATGCCGCAGCCATGAACTAAACTACCTAATATTATCCTATTATAACGAAAGCAAACCACAATATATATAACACATCAAGGCTGTTACTCTATTTTCAACAAAAATCAAGTCCGAAATAAATATATATAGATGAAGACAAAAGTTGAATTGACAAAGTGAATTAATATAGAATCCCATGAAGACATAAAAAATTCAAATAAGGTGAAGTTGACAGGTGCCTAAAATCACTTGTCTCAGTCATTCAAAAGTTGTGACTCATTTAATTTTTATTTTATTTTATTTAATTTTGAAATGTGAGTCATTTAATTAAATGAATTTAGTTGATGGGACATATCCTTCGATTATATTGCCCAAAATGGATAACAAAGCCAATTCCACACTTGGTTTCCTCAACCTTCTTTGCTCGTGTAAAACCAATCTTTTTTTCACGCCTAATTAATATCAGCTTTTATTTTTATTTATTTATTTTTTATGTGTCATTTTTGGGTGAATATTTTTCATATCTATTAATTAAAAAAGCAATTCAAAATATATCTATAACTTCTTTTCCATAAAAAAAATACAGTGAAATTAAATATTAATTTATTTCAATATATGAACACAATTAATACGAAGAGATAAGTTTGAGAAAACCCTAATTAAAGATTATGGAATAGTACGTATATTGATTGATGGCCATGAGATTCCGTACCAGGAAGCCATGCATGCAATTTGACAGTCAATTTGCATATGTACGTACGATGATGCATGTATAGTATTTTGTACGCTGCATGCACTTTAAAATTTGCTTTTTTTTTTTTTTTTTTTGAATTATTTTCTCACCATTAAAAAATAAATGCTTTATGGTCATTTATATGGATTAGGGCATAATCATTTGATCTATGACTCCTCAGCTTCTTGTCTACTTTGGGCAACTTGGATTAGACATGTCGACAATTGTTGTTTTCAGATGCACACACACACACCCACGCGTGTCTCTGTGTTTTAAATTTGCTCTTTATTACAAATTCGCTTTATTATTTATTTATTTCCTTTTTGTTTTTTTTTTTTACTTTTTTTTTTTTTTTTTTTTTTTAAGTTTTGGTTTTACAGAAGCAGATTCAAATTGACCTAACAAAATAATTAAGCCTCAAATTGATCCAAGTTAAATGACAGCTTTCAATTCAAGTTCAAGTTCGATTGGTATTGCACCATGAAAATTAATTGATTTAATATGTTGAACTATATTACAAAAAATTAACTTATTGATGGATCCTTCACTGGATGATCGAAGTCAACGAAGTCGTTGTAGTATAGTGGTAAGTATTCCCGCCTGTCACGCGGGTGACCCGGGTTCGATCCCCGGCAACGGCGCTTTTATCTCATTTTGAATTGATTAACGTTTGTATAAATTAAGTATAAGTACTTTTACATTAGAATTTATCAACAAAGTCGTTGTAGTATAGTGGTAAGTATTCCCGCCTGTCACGCGGGTGACCCGGGTTCGATCCCCGGCAACGGCGTTATTTTTGCGTTTTAAATTTAATTTTGTTATAAATTTAGGGTAAATTACAAATACACCCCTGAGTTATGGTTAAATTACGAAAATGCACCTCTTGTTTGGATAATTACAACCACCCCTCAACTCCTCAAATTTAGTGGAATCTTCGAGATTATATGGAATATTATCACCTTTGTACCCGTTTTATTCCATTAAAACTCTACATTTTGAAGCAAGATGATCATAATATGTGTTTTTTGGCTTGTATATATATCAGATTGTGGTGCAGAAACTGTATTTTTACACAAAATGAGTACAAACTAGAGTGCATTCCACGAAATCTAGATGCTTATGTTGAATTTGGCATCATAAGGGTGGAAGTGTAAGAAAAAATCATAGTTGAGGGGTAGATGTAATTATTCAAACAAGAGGGGTTTTTTTTATAAATTGACCAATACCTCAAGGGTATATGTAATTTACCCTAAATTTATAGCATGATTTTTTCCTTGCGAAACATTTATTGAGATTAGCATTTTGGAGCGAGTTATAAAATTTGATCCACACAACACATTTCATTCCCGCCCTTTTTTCCTCTCTCGGTTCGTACTCTCTCTCATCTCATCCCCTTTTCTTTCTCTCCCTCTCTCTCTCTCTCTCTCTCTCTCGTATAAGCGCAGGGCAGGCAAGGAAAAACACAGTGTGAGGATTTAATTGAAATCAATGGGGAAAACTAAGAAGGAAGAGAAATCGGACGATATAGAAATAATATCAGCCGGAAAGCTGTTCACTGGTCCATGGGAGAAGAAGTATTGGAGCTCATCTAGGGTCTGATTTTATCCATATTTTTCATTTATGCGTCTATTCTTACATTTCATTGATTACTTACACTCGATTGTGCTTTCCTGATTGATGAATAATTAATCCGATTCTGAACCTTTTCTCTATTTTCCCCCTCTGGTCATGATTTTGTTTTTTCGGATGAAAAAGTATTTAGCTCGAAATCTCTTCGTTGAAATTTTTATGGAGAATCGCGAATTAAAATTGCATATGCGTGTACTTAATTTGATTTTTCTTGTCCTCGATTTTAGATCAATTGCTGAAGACTAGCTATATCTGTACAGATCAATTTGATTGATTATTATAACTGTGGCCGCAAAATAATTTTTGGTGCGGTGAAAATATGTCGAACTAAACACAAAGAACAGTAGCTTAGCACTTCAATTTAGAGTATTTTTGTCACTTCAGCTTCACCGTTGAATTTCGTGTTAGTGATAATGTTGCTTACTTGCTTTCGACTCGGGTGATACTTCTTGTAGTAAGGTTGTGTTACATAGATAAAGCGGCTTGGTAAATATGATGATGCCAGTGGTCGCAGCTGTATACCGTGTGAGATGTGTTTGCGATACATAGCCTCCGAACGTTTTGTATATGCTAAATCTTTTCAATTTGCAGGGTAAATCGAGGTATCCTTATCCTGTTGGATACAAATCAGCGAGGACTCAAAATGGGGTTACTTACACCATGGAAATTCTCGAAGGTCTAAAAGGTCCATCATTCGTGGTGAGTAGGAAAACAAATGCTCATGTATTATTGCGTATATCCATTGATCACAGTATTAAACTAATACCATCGGCACTATAGATTAGTTCTTCCGATGGCAAGTCTTGTTCCGGGGACACTCCAGATATGGCATGGGAGAGCTTTCAGAAGAAAGGCTGTTCAAAGTTGTTGCATGGGAAGAGATTTTCGTGTAAGATAGATGGAGCGGAGGTACACCCTTTTCCCCCGTTTGTCGCCTTTCAACTCGTCCTTTTCTGAATAAGTAACTTTTAATGAATTGGACATAATAAAAATTCAATCTAGGGGAAGTACTTTCTGGGATGTTTTGGCAGCAAATCACATTTTGCATGATCTATCTGTGTTTACTTGTCCCGATTTTTTGTAGATATGTTGTCGTTGGTTCTCTTCAGGGATCTAACATTCAGTTGTCAATTTTCATGCAATGCACCTATATTCATTATTTTTTTCATGGAACTATGCTGCTAAATTATATTATGCGTCTGTGGTATAACTTTACATGACTGTTATCAGGCACAAGTTTAATAGTGTAAACTATCCTACTGTTTCAAATCAAGTAGCTTAAATTTTGCTTCAGAAACTTATAAAATTGCTAGAAAAAAAGTGGTTTACAACTTTCTCTCTCTTTCGCAGTCTTTTGGATTCAAAAACACATTTGTTCAGAGATTACTGCGAGAATTGGTAGCAAGTGTTGGTGATACTGCTGAACAGAGTTTTGTACCGTCAAACTTCTCGAATGAATGCCAACCATCAAGTCTTGGTCCTGATTTGCCGACCAATTTGGTGAAACCACACATTGAAGGAAAGAGAAAGATGATCGACAAAGTTGTTACAAGTAAAAGACTAAGTAGAACTCCTGTCAATCAACATCAGCAAGAAAAATGCACAAATAATGGTAGCTCTTCAAACTCCAAGCAAAGAGATCAACCAAATCCTGGGAGCGGTGGTCCTTCAACTTTTGCTGGTGCAGATGAAGTCTCTAGCTTTTGCCACAGTTCAGGAGTAATGGAGCCAGAAAACTTGGCTACCATAGTAGAGAATGAAAAATGTCTAACAATTGCAGAAAGAGGCAAGTTGGATTCTTTGGACCATCTCAAAGTAGGAGGTTCCCTTTCCCATGAAGAAAAAGAACTCGTAAGTTATAGTAATCATTTCAAATTTAATATTGATAATTTTCTCCAAAATCGAGAACCTGTAAGTTTCCCAGTTATATTTTACTCATGTTCTTATGTTCTTTTTTATTCTTTTACTAAATACGTGAGAGATAAAATATTACAGTCCTGAGTGAGGGAAATTTATGCAAAACTAGTGTGTGAATCTTGTTAGCTTGGCGTATTTAATGACAGAGTGATAGGTCAAGATATGGTGAGGTCCAAGGAATCAATAACTTAACACAAAAAGAGAGGAGTAGAGTGAGTAATTATCAGCATGACCTGCCAGTTGTCAATGGTGATGATCTATGTGGACCAGACACTTTGGATCAAGCTGAAGGTATGCTGTATTTGTATACGCACCTTAATTATTTGCAAGCACTCAATAACTGAAAGTGCTTTAGTTTTCAAATCTCCTTAGTTTCTCGCTATTTATGGCTCATGCTTCTTTTTATTTCTTTTGGCAGACAGTTCCGTTTCTTCTCGAAAGAACGTGCAAGTGAATTTGATCGTGAAAGATGCAATTGTCAATGATGTGGGCGAGTCTGAGGTTTTAGTCCCTGATTCACTTCCAGAAGATGAAATAGGCATATCTCCTTGCAACACGGGCTCAGAAAAGTGTGATGCTGATTCAGTTAGTCAAGAATTAGCCAACTCCATGATGACACTTCTACTCCCTCGAGCTGTTCCTTTACTTAAAACATTCACTAGAAAGAAAAAGAAAAGTGCAAAGCCTCCAAAAAATCCTACTCATAGATCTCAGGAGGAAAATAATATGCCCAACATTGGTGTGAATGATGCAACCATAGGTAAAGTGTTATTATATATTGACTTTTGAAAATCATAGCATATTTTTGTTTCAATTGTGGCACTTGTTTTACTGCATCTATATGTGAATTCTTCAATTCTTCTGTAAAACCAATTTTAATTGGTTCCAGATTTTCTAATTTTATTTACAATTTTTCAGACAGCGGGCTAGCTGAGCACTCAGATTTGGACAGAATGAATGCAAAGGCCTGTATTCCATATCCTTGTCAGGATTCAGTTATCTCAACCTGTGGGTACTCGGATTCTGTGGTGCCTGATGGTTTTGACAATGATGTTCCACAAGATCCGCTTCCTCATGGTTTCTCTTTTGGAGATAAAGTTCCTGCTATTCATGCATCACAAATGGAAGGAGCTTCTCGACCAGAAAGTATGATATCTGAAGTTCTCCAAGATATTTGCATGCCTGAGGTAAGGAACACGTAATATATGTTTGCACTTGTAGGCGTTCTATGAACTCAAAATTATTTGGTAACGAATTCTTCACCAACTCTACATTTTCACGCCTTGATAATTCTGAAGCTAGTTTCGCCAAATTGCAGGACAAAGAATTTGCTGATTGTGATAACTCATCTTTAAACTTACAAACCCCAAGTACAAGTTGTTGCAATATGATTGAGAACAATGAGATGAATGACGAGTCAAGGTCCAATATTCAACAAAAGGTGAAGTTAAATGACAAGCTAGGGGGTCTTTTCAAGCTTTCTGGATGCTATGTCCACCCGATGCCAATTTCAATGGTGCAGCTGATTGTTAAAGAGAATGAAATGTTTATATTTGTGAAATGTGGATACCCGGAGCGCAAGGAAAGCACCCTCTTTCTCTACAAGGCCCTACAGAGTGGAGAGAGGATGGGGTGCCCTTCATTAATTGGTCATATGTCAATAGCTTTGCAAATTTCAAAAGATGTACTTGGTAGAGATGTAAGATGAAACCTTCAATCTTTTGTTGCATCATTATTTGGACTTGCTTATTACACAACTAACATGAAACCCATTCTCCCAGATTGCTGCTAACAGATCTTTGCTACAATTAACCCCCGATGCACAATCAATTGTTTTATCAAACAGCATTAAAACTCCTTGCTGTAGGTAATAATTATCTATCTCTGTTTCTTATGCTTAAATAATCTACAGAAGAAGCCTTACATTGTTCTTGAACTACTAACTTTGTACCATATCAGGGAGGGTAAATTGCATTGTACATGTCCGGATTGTACTTCAGATATCTGTGAGAGAAATGCAGTTAAAATTGTTCGATTAAGAAGAGGATATGCTTCACTCGTGACAAAACTGGAAACTGCTCAGGGTGTATGCTGTTTATTAGTTTGTGAACCTAGTTTTCTTCTTGCTGCTGAGGCGGATGGAAAGCTGAAGCTGTGGATCATGAACTCTGCATGGAGGTGATTAATCACATGTCATTTTTCCATTTTATATATACTGCATGAACATTAATACATCGTGGATCGAATCTAATGCTCAAGCTTTGAACAGTGATGATAATGTCCATACTTGTCGGTAGTTTGTTGTGTCATTTTTCGACACTCGCTTGTTATGATTCTGGTAGCATCATAGATAGCAGGAAGATAACTTTAGCATCATATGTCGAGTCATTGATGTTTATATTTTTGGTTTTAGATAATCTGCTAGTTGTTATGTTAATTACTGCTTCTCGATTTTCAGCGGACAGAAAGAAGATTGGTATTTACCTACAGTTGACTGGATGTTTCCTACTATAATGGAGTTGAAAGCGATTCCAAAGTCTGCTATTTTAGTTGTTGGCCATAATGGGTTTGGGGAATTTGCCTTATGGTATGTTTCTTTTTCCTTTTAAAAATAGTTCTGCTGACTCCCATCTATTATTTTATTTTTTCGTTGAACTATACGCATATGTTTCTTGGTTTTGCACAGCCAACTAATAGTACATAGAATGTTTCAGTGTTTTTTTCCATTTGGAACTACTGAAAGCTTTACATGATACATAGATTTATAAATATGAGAAATCATGTTAAAGACATTAATTACAGTTCTATGCATGATTGAGAATTATCTGCGTAAACAATCATCAGATTCTTCAGCATTTGGCTTCAGTATGATGCATATGCCGCCCTGGTAGAACAAATATTTGCAAGCATCATCACTTCAGCACAGATTTGCAAATGACTTTTACAGTTATGATGTCAATATTCGTAGCTTCTTTCATGTGGATTTCGTTATTTGCAGATTCATTAATTTTGGATTTACTCAGTTAGTGTCTTTATATTTCTACGCATCTTCGAATTAGTTCAATTACAGCGTCCTGCAATCGCTTAAATCGTGTAGGTCTATGGGATCTTTCATTTTGCTATGATAAGGATATCTGTTTGCCTTAAAAAAATATAGATCAAATATAAAGAGACGAGAGCGATATTGGCTGGGGAGTTGCTTTCGTTTTTACTTCACCTTTATACTTGTAATAAAATACTCGTGCATTTTTATACAGGGATATTAACAAACGCAACCTGGTATCAAGGTTCTCCTCCCCAGGCATGTCAGTTTCGGAGTGCATTCCAGCCAGTTTTTTCAGATGGCAAAGGAAAGGACAGAGCAAGACAGAGTCAATTATAAATGACATCATGGACGCCACAAAAACCTCGTTTTCATCAAAAAGTGAAAAGAATCACAGATTTTCACCAGAGGATAGTGATGTAGCCGTTTGGCTTCTGATTTCAACCCCCTCCGATCCAGATTCACAATGTAGTCAATCTTATGAACAAGAACCTAATCCAGCTGGATATTGGAAGCTTGCTTTGTTGGTGAATAAAACGGTGATCGTTGGAAGTGTTTTGGATGGAGGGTAAAAATCTACTACTGTATTCTGTCGCCAACTCTCGTGATTTTATTTTTTAATTTTTTAATCTGATTCGTGAAAAAAATGCTAATATATCGAGTAATGTTAGTCCATCCCAATTTATAGAAATTATATCATTTGTAGGGCTGCTGCAGTCACATCTGTTGGTCATGGAGTCGTCGGTAAAGGCAACGGAACGGTTTATTTGTGGGAATTATCTACAGGAAAGAAGCTAGGAAACCTACACTCGTTTAAAGGTACGTACGTTTTCTTGGTCTTGCGAGAAATGTTATTTTTCAACCTTAGATGTCTTGTTTGCAATATAAGAGACGAGCGAAATTAGTGATCTTGCAAATTATGTTTTATTTGTGGTCTGGTAATTTTTATTCGATGTATAACTTGTAGAAGGCCTTGATTAATTGAGGTTTTGAATTGTTCGTTCAGGTAGTCGAGTATCGTGCGTTACCACTGATACTTCAGAATCGGGTGCTTTGGCCATAGCTAGCGCAGACCAGCTGCTCGTTTATATGCAGTCTTGAAGAAATTTTTCGCGGGAGTTTCTCATCAAAACATTTGTACAGCTATTTCCACAATTTTCTTTTGAAACTCACACCTCATATCAAGATGTGTGTGTTGAATGTATATCTATACGTTCGATTTCTTATCCAATTAACCTCTACATAACTCGATCAAACTGGTTAAAAGGTGTGAAAACAATCTTTTGCTTATTCAGAGCAAGGGATCCGGTGAAATCAATTTGAAAATGAATGTAAAAATAGCTGTTCAAGATGAAATCATAGTACAAAGTTACATAACTGACCAGCTTTGATAGATATATAAATTTAATATCTAGAGTTTGCTCGAAGCCCTTATATTTTCTACATTAGAAAACGAGAACGGAAAAAGGAATCGTCATAACATAAATATAACTGTATGGAAGGTCAACCAAACATACGAAAAAATGAAGGAATTATAATTTGAAATAGATAGTTAAATAATTGAAGTAACATAAAATAGGAACGAAATAGGAAGGAATCTATTTAGCAGAAGGGTTGAGCTCGTCCCACGCTTTCAATCCAGGTCACCATAGTATCAGCAAGCTTAGTGAAGTACGGATTGATGGTGGAAAGTTTGGCCTTGACTTGTTTGGCAAGTTCAATGTAGCATTGCTGCACGGTTGTGCATTCTTTCGGAATGCTTACAGATTGAAAGAAAGGAATAATATCTTCTTGCCAGTATATTCCTTTGTACTCCTTTTTCAGATTCACAAAAGGGTCGCTCGCTTTGCTGTGCCATATGTACCGCAGACCTGTCTTCACTCCAAGATTCAAATGGTCGCATATCACCTGCAATTAAATTCACCGTCGTAATATATAGTTAATATAGTTAGTCCATGTTTGGTTGGGAAAATATACGTCGAAGATTAATATTAAGTAACAATAACTTGATCGGACTAGCGTTAGCGGACTTGTGTAACTATATGATTTGGAAAAATAATGAGATTGGAAATATCTTACCTTGACTAATACAACTGCGGCAAACACACGATGCCTTAGTGTCGTAATTCCCGAATATATGAACTTTCCCCACACCACAAAAAGAAAGGTGACATTGAAAACTAGGTAGCAATTAATCTACATTAAGAACTCGTCTGGATGGCAAGAAAAATCGTGATTTTTTTTCTTACTTGATGTAAATTCATCAAACAACTCCTCCGACCGGTCCGAAAGTCTTGGATTTTCCTAACCTTTAATCCAGATTAAACAGCAAACATGCAGCAAACGGAAAAAAAAATAATCAAAAATATGAAACACTTACGAAGCAATCATCGTCAATGGTGTAAAATGTACTTCTTCTTGGAGACCATGTAACCAAAGCATCTACAAGCGGAATCTTTGAAGGAGATACATGAAGCCTTGGGGCCGAGAATTCTGTTGATATCGTTCCGATTATAGAGCTCGTAATCAAATCCAAGAAATCTAGGTTTCTTATTGTGGGTATCACTATATCTAACTCATCTTTCAGCCGGGGTGTTGCTGCTGCCGCCGCCATTGTTTTCTTTTTCTGCCGAGGGAGAGAAGACGGCGGTGGTGGTGGTGGCGGCGGCGGTGGATGTTTTGTTTTTATATAGAGGGGAGAACGAAGTTTACTACTACTTTCTTCGGGTTGTATCTTTTAAAAGATTCGTCTCGTAGTTGATTACCGTTTCAAATTAACACTAATGTTTGAACGCATTGAATCAAAATTAGCACCTTCGAAGAAACTCCATTTTTGGAAGTGAAAAATTAATACCAATTCCGTTTCAAAAAATAAAAAAACAGCCAAATTGGAATTCGATATTTCGATTGTTCCAAAATAAAATAAAAATCCGGTTACCATTCGGCGTAGTTTGAAATTTCCAAAACAAATCCGGTTCAAAATTTAATATTACATTTGTAATTTTCGATAATAAATTGGATCGGAAATCAGAATCTAATATGTATTGCAATTCCATTTCAAAGAAATCGGAAAAGTCGGAATAAAATATATATTGTTCCAAAATTGGAAATATTTGGAAATCCCGTTCCAATTTCCACTCCTAGTCGTAACAAACAAAATTACAAAGACACAAAGACAAAACAAAACAACAAAATTCAAAAAAATATTCATCACCTAAAATTTCCGTCTCCTTTGCAGCATTGCGTCACAGATTCTCAAAGCATCTCGATTAACTCCCACATTGTGCACCCTCACAATATCCGCGCCCCCCAAAACGCCAGCTGTCACACAAGCCACAGTCGCCGCATCTCTTCGAGCTGCATCCGTCTGCCCACAAATCTCGCCCAAGAATCTCTTCCTCGAAGGCCCTATCAGTAAAGGCGCACGAGACAATGCCAAGCTCTTCCGACCAATCTCCGACCGTACACCTGGCAATCCCGCAAGAATGTCCAAATTATGCTTCGTACTCTTCGAGAACCCAATCCCAGGATCCAAAATCATCCTCCATGCAGGAACACCCGCCAGCTCAGCATCTCTAACGCGCGTGTACAGCTCAGACCCGACATCCTTACAAACATCATCGTACACTAGGTTCTCGTCATTCTGCATTGTGGATGGATCGCCCCTCATATGCATAGCAATATATGGAATTTTTAAACCCGCAATTACGTTGTGCATATTCGAGTCCAATTGTCCAGCAGACACATCGTTGATAAGATGGGCACCTTTCTTGATTGCTTCTAAAGCAACTTGCGAGTAAAAAGTGTCGACCGATATTAGCTTTCCCTCCATTTCAGGCATGTTTATTACAGCCTCCAAGACAGGTATTAGCCTGTCCAATTCTTGCTCGGGGGATAGCTTCGCTGCCATTGGTCTAGTCGACTGTGCACCTAAATCGATTATATCAGCACCTTCTGTAACCATAGATCGAACCCTCGAAACAGCCGATCCAACGGATATAAATTCACCCCCGTCACTAAAACTATCGGGGGTCACGTTCAAAATACCCATTACAGAGGCTCTAGTGGACCAATTCCACAGCCGATTTCCAACAGGCAATACTCTTTTCATCCCATCTTTTCCGATGAGTGATTCGCCGCCCAATTTCTGCCACGCCTCGAAAATCCCACCTGAATTTCTCGAAAGCAGATGCCAAGATTTAGTCGTGTCATTATCTGGGTCGGTTCCCAACAGATCGATTAACGGGCCCATCACAAAAGGCCTCTCCCAGATTCTCTCGTGTGGAATAACGAGGGTGTCGGTGTTGACCGTTTGACTCCCGTAGAACAGAATGTCTAGGTCGATTGGTCTGGGACCGTACCTTATGCCAGCTGTACGCCCCAAGTCCCTCTCGATTTCCTTCAGAGTTTCCAACAGTTTGTGTGGTTCGAGTTTTGTTGTTGCTCTTACAGCGGAATTGAGGAAGTGGGGCTGGTCTGTTACGTAAGCAGGTTCGGTTTCGTATAGGCAGCCATGCCTTGAGATTAATATACCTGCTTTCTTCATACGGTTTAAGGCGTCTTCGAAATTATTAAGCCTGTCGCCCACATTACTTCCCAAAGCAATTACAACTTCCTGCTCTTCGGAATTAACTTCCACTGAACTATGGTAAAGTGAACGGAAAAGGCACAAGCTCGCTGCTGCGAAAGAGATAAAAAAAAAAAAAAAAAAAACTCAGATCGATGTTCAGTCGATAACATTTCAACAGCATTACATCTTTTTTCGAATAATTGCAATACAAATTCTTGTAGGCACAGAGAACTAGAAGTGTTGGGAGCGAAAACATAAGTAGTGAATCACACAGCACAATGTAATATTCGTACGATAGTTTCTCGTCTATTGTGCCTTTACGCATCACTAAGATTCTTGACATCAATATACCAATCGATTAGACAACCATAACTCCGTCCCAAAGACTTTGTGCCAAAAATAAAACAACTTATTCCACAAAGATTGAAATAACAACAGTTCGCAGATAAAGAATCATCGACAAAAAGACGTACAACCACTCACGATTAGTATACATGATTCCCACAAACCATACTAAGAAATCCGTAACGAATGAAACACCGTCAAGATTAATGGTAACTGTTGTGCAAGAACAGTAGAGAAACACCTTTACATGATGAATTCTTTGCAGCTCTTATCCCATGCTTGATGTGCACCAGCTGTTTGATAAAATTCATCTCAAGAATGGGTTTTCACCGATACCTCTCCACCTGAAATCACACACACATACATTTCAAACTCTCCAAATTAATCGCAATGAAAACGGAAGGTCTATCAACTAAAGCTTAGTTTCTACAGTCCAATTTGATTGAGAAACGCTGTTAATAAAATGATTTCATTTGTTGCTTGTTCCAACTCTAAATCTTCTACATTGCAGAATCTGAAACAATTCATGGCGTTATATGGTTTCATTATACCTCTCCAGATTCTCGGAGTAGCAGCTGTCAACGGATAAGAGGAGGATTAAACGGCGCCGCACAGCCTTCAGTTACTGAATTCGCCGGCGCTCGCCGCCGCAGGTGGTGGTTGTTAGCCCGGAGCCGCTGTGTTTTATTCGCATCGGTTATGTATTTTTTTGAATTTAGCCCCTTTTTGATCTGGCAAAAATAGCGGTCCCCCTGCTGGAAAACTGCAACTCTGAAAAACCTAGTGGCAATTTGTGGAAATGTAGGGGATAAGGAAGGGCAAAACAGTCATTTTACAAGAAAATCCCCAAGTTTATCAGTAGCTACTAAATTAAAATATTGAAATTCCCAAAAATCAAAATTATCCAGTTCCTAAAACCCCTGTGTACTGGAATTCTGCGTTTTTGAGAAATCTTTATCCGATGATGGCTTCAATGTCTTGCACGCAGTTTCCATTGATGCCCAGGTTCCCTTTCTTCACCCACCCCCCCCCCCCCCCCCCTCCCACCCCCCAAACTAGAATTCAGCTTATCTTGACGGTTATGTTTTCCTTTTGCTTTTCACACACACACACACAAGAAAAAATTGAATCTTGGAACCAGGTTCTCTGTGCGTTTTTTTTTTTTTTTATATAGAAGCAAGATGGAGCTGCATAAATTAGAAGGGATAACATATATTGTGTAATGTGAAATGGGTTGTTGGATTTAGGATACAAGTGAATGAAATTAAGATTATTTGAAAGTTATGCTACCTTTTTTTTTGTTTTGCTGCAGGGTATACAGATGGGAATCGAATGGGAATACATTTTCGTATATGAACTATACGAACATTGTACAGATTCAAGACCGTCGAGTAAATAGAAATGTAGTAACATTAGTCTCGAAAAAGAAATTAGCCGACTCGTTGGCTGAGGATGTACCCGATGGAGAACCAGCGGTTGTAGAGAAGAAGACCCGTAAAACGACTAAACGAGCACCTGCAAAAAGCAAGAAAAAGACACTGGAGATTGTTGATGAAGATTCTGCTGTCGATGGAAATGCGAAAGAAGAGGAAATTTCAGCCTCGACGGAAGTTCCGAAGAAAACCCAAACTAAAACTAGGAAAAGAGGTTCAGTCTTTACCATAAAAATCGGATTTTTTTCGCGATAAATAAAGATTTGTTGCCGTATTCGACAATATGATTTTGCGTGCAGCTATACCAACATCCAAGACCTCGGAAAAAGAAGAAGAAGAAGAAGAAGCAACTCCCAAAAAGGCGACAAGGCAGAGGAAATCCAAGAAGAAAGCTGACGTCATCGAAGCTAACGAGACGGAATTCAGTGAACCCGAAGATGACATATTTGCCCCTACCTTTGACGAAAGCAACGATCATGACCTCGAGTTTGCTATCGAAGATGGAGAGGATATAAGCTACACATACGGATGGCCGCCCTTAGTTTGTTGCTTCGGTGCAGCTCAAAACGCATTTGTGCCAGCTGGACGAAGATCAAACAGACTCATCGACTACGAAATCCACGACCGGAAAAGGGATGCTCTGTACGAGCCAGAGAAGTTCGTTAGGGCTCCTGGAGGAAGTTCGAGCAACGTTGCGGTGGCTCTAGCGAGCTTGGGGGGTAAAGTTGCCTTCATGGGCAAACTCGGAGACGATGCCTATGGTCATTCTTTGCTGTACTATTTGAACATCAACAATGTCCAAACGAGAGCGGTGCGTATAGATGAGAATAAAGTGACAGCTGTATCTCGGATGAAGATTGGTAAACGGGGTGGATTGAGGGTGGCTAGTGTGAAGCCGTGTGCAGAGGATTGTTTGTCGAGGTCGGAGATTAATGTTGATGTGTTGAGAGAGGTCAGATATTTCTTTTCTTCCTCTTACTCGTCTTTTTTTTATTCTTCGAGGCCTTCGTTTGGTAGTATTGATAGGGTTGATAAGATTGATTGAATTGGATAGGATTATATAGTCCATGATACTTTTATTAGGTAATATCCTTCATGGGATTGTGTAATTATTCGTATGCTTGATTAAAATTCCAGGTCCGTTTTTAATCACGGGCTTGAAGCCTAAAACCCGAACACTTGTTACATCTTGATTATATAGTCTATCAAGTCGTATCCTTGTTCCCAAACGAGGCCTTAGGTGTTTAGGTTCTGTACATGAATTTGGTTTTATATTACCTTTTTTCTCATTTCCGAGTAAGGATGTTTATCGAGGAAAAGGAAGTTGTTAAATAGATTACGAGATGCAACTCGATTGATCGTGCGTGCAAATAGAAGGGATTCTTCACAAATTAATGTTGAAATAGAAATTTACTGCTGCTTGTAAAGTAACCGAATATTAGTTTCTTAATTATCGTTCGCAAGAATCTCATTACATTCAACTAATCCTGTTAATCTGTTATCACACAGTTTAGTCGAAAATTTTGTGTGCTCGTATGCTCCTCCGTTTTGTGTGTGTGTGTGTGTATATATGAATAACCTTTTAAGTGCATATTAAATTTCAAAAAGTTATAATCATGCAGGCACAAATGTTTTACTTCAACACATTCAGCCTATTAGACCGAAACACGAGATCAACCGCGTTACAAGCTGTGAAGATCTCCAAAAAGTTAGGAAACCTCGTTTTCTACGATCTCAACCTGCCGCTTCCACTCTGGCAATCGAGCGAAGAAACCAAGAAGTTCATACAAAGCGCGTGGAATCTATCCGATATTATCGAGGTCACCAAACAAGAGCTCGAATTTCTCTGCGGAATAATACCGTCGGAAGAATTCGACACGAGAGACAATAATCGAAATAAATTCACTCATTATTCACCGGAAATTGTGTCTCAGCTCTGGCACGAAAATCTCAAGATTTTGTTCGTGACGAACGGAACTTCAAAGATACATTATTATACAAAGGAGTACGATGGCTCCGTATACGGAATGGAGGATGCTCCTCTCACACCGTATACTTCCGATATGTCTGCAACTGGAGATGGTGTTGTGGCAGGTAAATTATGAAAAAAAAATCGCGTACAAATATATATATATATATATATATATATATATCTTGAGGTGATATTTATATTTGGGTGGCAGGTATAATGAAAATGCTGACGGTGCAGCCACATCTGCTATTGGATAAAGGGTATTTGGAGCGCACTATAAAGTACGCGATTAACTGTGGGGTCACAGACCAATGGCTGCAGGCTCGGAAACTAGGGTACCCTCCGAAAGAAGGGATGGAAGACGTTGATTCTGATCCACATGGCATTAAATCGATAACTGAAAAGCAATACAGAACCTTAGTGCCTACTGAAAGCTGATCGACGAACATGATTCAAATTCGGTGTCGGTTTTTTTTCTTTTCCCTTCTTTTCTAGGACTAGTGTTGTGGAAGGATGTATGATTGAGATGAACGTGTAGGAAATGGAGTCGTATGGAGCTATGGTGGGCTTTAGCTGCACTGTATAGTGCCTCGATGATTCATGTTTTTATGCTGTGTTGTTTTAGATTTGTAGTATGTATTATGTAATAGCTCTTGAAGCTAAGAAAATTTTGAAATGCAGAGAGAGGCATTGCTTTTTTTTTTTTCTTTTTAAGCGAGTCGGGGTTGGAAGAAATCATCATTTAAGCAAAGTTATTAATTTATCGAGGTGGTTCTGTGTATATATGTATAAACAATAAGAGTAAATTACACCTACACCCCTCAAGTATGTTAAAATAACTTTAAAGTTCCTGTAGTATTTATAATTACAGTCACACCCCTAAAATAATTAGCGGAGCCAAGATTTTATGCCCTGGAGACCGATATGCACAATATTTGTTTCCCGGGGAACTGTTAATGCTTGCATAGACGAAAATTTATAAATCTTATATAAAATAATAATGATTTAAGAAATGTTAGGAGAACCATGTCACCCCCTAGTTCTATGTTGTCTCCACCACGGCCTGTTTCTAACAATGTTTCAGGGGTGATTGTAATTGCCGATACTACATAGACCTTAGAGTTATTTTAGCATACCTCAGGAGTGTATGTGTAATTTTCCCAACAATAATAAGAATAAACAATTAAATAAAGTGAAAATAAAAAGGCCAATATGTAGGGCATATTATGAATTAAATAAACTAATAATTATTTTTGGGTGGTTTCTTTAGAAAATCAGCAACACAAAATACTTTAATAAGGTAAAAATCTTAAAGAGATCAATCTTAATAATTATGTCTGAGTGTAGGTTTAGTATGAAATCTTAGATGAGAATATCTAAAATATAGTCTTTTAATATTTTTTGTCATTCTTAAAAGCAGTCAAGACTTAATGGTGCCGAATAATTATTTGGGTAAATTATAACTACCTTAAATTACGAAAAACTCTCTTATGTTTGGGTAGTTACAACTACCCTCACCTATGAATCTTCTTATACGTTCATCATTATGGTGTCAAATTCAACACAAGTTTCTAGATTCCGTGGAATATTCTCTAGTTTGTACTCGTTTTGCGCAAAATTGCAGTTTTTGATGCACCACAACCTGATATATACAAACCAAAAAATACATCTTATGATCATCTTGTTTCAAAATGTGGAGCTCGAATTAAATAAAGCGGGTACACACTTGAGAATATTACATATAATCTAGAAGATTTCGATAAATTTGACATGCCAATGATGGACGTGTAAGAAGATTCATAGTTGATGGGTGGTTGTAATTACCCAAACAAGAGGGGGTTTTCGTAATTTGACATTACATGGGGGGGGGGGGGGGGGGGCTCGTAATTTACCCTAATTATTTTATATAATTATTCATTGATTTTATAAATTAGTAATGGAAAATTACAGTTTTCACCCCTCAAGCTTGCACCGATTTTGCATTTGGTCCTCTATGTTTACAAAAAAACATTTGGTCCCTCACGTTTCAATAATTTAACGCTTTTGGTCAGTTTCATCAATTTACCGTTAGTATATCAATTAATTCATTGACGGGCACACGCTTGATTCCGTTAGTTTTAACGGAAAATTGACGGAAAGGAAAATGTAGAATTTTTGAAACACGAGGAACCAAATGCAATTTTGTGAACATAGGAGGCCAAATATGAAATCAATGCAAATTTGAAGGATAAGACTGTATTTTTCCCAATTATTAATGTATCAATTTATTTAATAATAATCGATTAAATTAAGGGTAAATCACAACCAACCCCTGAGGTATGGTCAATTCACGAAAAAACCTATTTTGTTGGATAATTACATCTACCCCCTCAACTATAATTTTTCTGTACACTTCCACCGTTATGATGTCAAATGCAACATAATTATCTAGATTTCGTGGAATGTGCTCTAGTTTGTACTCGTTTTGTGTAAAAATACAGTTTCTGATGCACCACAATCTGATATATATATACAAGCCAAAAAACACATATTATGATCATTTAGCTTCAAAATGTGGAATTCGAATGAGATAAAACGGGTACAAACGCGATAATATTCCATATAATCTCGAAAATTTCACTAAATTTGAAACTGCAAGGGTAGACGTGTAAGAAGATTTATAGTTGAGGGATACATAGGGGTGTGATTGTAGTTTACCCTTAAATTAAACATAAATTGGGCACTCCAAGTATATTATAGTGAGAGAATTATTGGTGAAAGTGATGGGGTCTCTTCGGATAATAGTTACACAATTCTCGACTGTGATTGGGTGATGTATACATACCTACGTAAGACTCCATACATCATAGTATATGAATTAAAAAATAATAAAATAATAAAATACTTTGGTTAAAAATTAAAAATAAATGATTGCATTATAACATGGAATCTTTGCCTTTGTTGAGAGGAAGACCGTCGCTCTAAGAAAAGAAAAAGACAGAGAGTCCTTTCGTAAGTTGAAAGAGAAAAATTATTTTTTAATTATTTTTTCTCTTGACTTGGGAATACAGTGAGTCTTCTTCTTCTTCTTCTTCACCCCTTTGTTTTTTTTTTCTTTTTTTTTTTTTTGTGGGGCTCTTCGTTTTCTCTCTAAAAAGGAAATTAAAATTAATAATTAAATTAATTAATTAAGTAGGAAGTTTGAATCGCATAGAGAAAGAGAGAAGTTTAATCCATTCTTGATTGTGATCTGTTTCAAGAATTCTAATGTTAGAGTGAAGTTCAGTTCAGTTTGTTTTCTTGGTAATTACTAAGTTTCTCTCTCTTCTTTTCTGTGTCTGCATATAATAATAATATAATATTGATGTTTCTCTCTCACACACACTTGCACACTTTTTTTGGGTTCTTGAAATTTATCTTGATTTTGTAAGGATTTGTATCAACTTTTTATTGGGTTTTGTTTTTATGGTGATTTTTTTTATTTTTAGAATTTTTATAGTGTTTATGTTAAGTGGAAAGTGAGTGTTGATGAAGAGAGCAAAAGCTTGTTGCATGTTTGTTGTTTGCTATCTGTGGTTTATGAGAACTGACAATTTTTATAATTAAAGATTATGAAAAAAATGTTTAAACTTTTGATGCCATATATAATCATTGTCTGTGTTTTCCCTATGTAAAAACGAAATGCATTGGTTGTTCGATGTGAGTGGGTGAAAAATCGAAGAGAGTTTTTACGAAATAGGGAAGCGCCGAATTTATTAAAGATTGTGAAAAAGTGTTTAAACTTTTGATGCCCTATATATATAATCATTGTCTGTGTTTGCTTAATGTAAAAACGAAATGCATCGGTTGTTCAATGTGAGTGTGTGAACAATCGAAGAGATTTTTTACGAAATAGGGAGGCGCCGTTTTTATTAGCCATGGTGAGAGTGGGAGCCGAATTTCTAAATCATTAAAATCCGACAAAAGAAGAAAAGAAAAAAGAAACACGTTGTCGTTTGTTTTTTCTGCTATCGAACATCTCATGCTCGGCTTCGTTCACATTTAATATGAACTTTATTTAATGGTTATCTTTAAATGCACGTTCGTTCTTGAGTATACTTTTTAAATAACACGATAAATTTTCACATTGCTTTTTTTTTTTACCGAAGACTCCGTTGCACTAGTGATTGGCTCATAAATGTTGCTTGATTCACAACATATTACGATAACCCGACTTTCGTTTTTTGAACGAAAAAAGATAAAGTGCGGCATTTTTTGTCATAATTGCAGAAAAAGACCATTGATCTCGTGTATCTTATTGTCTGCATCTCGAAAAAAATTTCAAAAGAATTCACGTATGCTTCTATTTATTACTATTTTCTAATCCATATTCACGATTAAATCTGCAGTCGAGCGAAAATTGGCTAAAAGATGGGAAGGACAATTCAGGTATTTGGCTTCCCGTATCTCGTTGCAGCCGAACTCGTAAAAAAGTTCCTGGAGAATTACACGGGCGAAGGAACTGTAATTGCTTTGGAAGTGAAAACAGCAAAAGTGGGTCGAAGGGCATATGCCAGAGTTCAATTCACAAACATAAGATGCGCGGAGACGATTATCGATCTGGCCAAAAATCGTCTCTACTACGGCACTTCTTATTTGAAGGCTTATGAATCGGATATCGACATTGTACAAAATCCCAGAACATTCGCACATGAAATGGAGAACGTCACTCTGAATTTCGGATGTCAGATATCGCCTCATAAATTCTCGGTCCTGTGGAAAGGGGAAAGCGTCACCGTCAAATTCGGGACCGGAATGAAAAAAATGCACTTCTTTTTGCGCCACAATTCCGTCGAGTACAAGATGCAGCTCTCGTACGAAAACATATGGCAGATCGTGCTGTACAATTCGTATGGTCAATCGTCGAAGCTTCTTGTCATACAGGTTTGAGTTACACTGCTTTAGAAACATTAATTCTTTTTCTCAAAAAAAAAAAAAAAAGAAACATTAATTCTAATGTCGTAAGTAGGGGTGGAAATTGGAACGAAAATTCCGATCTCCGCCGAATCCGATCCGAAAAAATTCCGATTTTGGAACGATTTTTTCAATTCCGAATTCTGATTTCCGAAATTTCCGATTTCCGATCCGAAATTATTCCAATTATTTCCAATTATTATTAATATTTATTACTACATATATATTACTATATGTATCTGTACTATATATATATATATATATATATATATGTATATATATATATATATGTATGCATTTGTACATATTTTTCATTTTTTTTTTGGAAAAATTCTGAAAATATTCCGATTTTCCGAAAATTCCGAAAAAATCGGAATCGGAATCAATTCTTGAATTCCGAAAAAAATCGAAATAGGAAGGCATTTTGGACTTCCGAAAAAAATCGGAATTTTCCGAAACACCCAAATCCGATCCGATCCGTCCGATCTCCACCCCTAGTCGTAACAAATAGAAACGGTAACTGGTTTTTATTTTTTTTCGCTTTTTTTTTCAGTTATTTGGGGCGCCAAGAATCTATAAGAAGCTATCGGGTTCCGTTTATAGCTACTTTATGGTAACTCAGGACGATCAATGGGTCAGAACGACGGACTTCACTCAATCCCTTATCGGACAATCTTCGAGTTTATGCCTCCAGCTACCTTACGGAATGAGACTTCCGAATTTCAGAGACAATTTTCTTTATTACAAGGAAAGCGAAACCCCGTTCCGTTTAGAGACAGGTGTACCCTTTTCCCACAACTCGGATCTAGTTCCGATTGTTCGTCCTCCTATAGACATCAAATTGCCCTACACGTTATTATTCAAGGTGTGCAGTTTGGTGCAAACCGGGTGCCTCCCCGGCCCGAAACTCGATCGATCCTTCTTTGACTTGGTCAATCCAGCCAAACACGATATTCGATACATCGAGCACGCTCTCGAGAAACTCTACTACTTAAAAGAGTGCTGCTACAATCCCGCGGCGTGGCTTAAAGAGCAGTACGAAAGATACCGTACGTCGAAAGAGCATCCGAAGTCGCCTGCCATTTGCTTGGACGACGGTTTGGTGTACGTTCACAGGGTGCAAGTAACTCCGACTAGGGTTTATTTCTCCGGCCCGGAAGTGAACGTGTCGAACCGCGTGCTGCGTCATTATCGAGATTACATCGATAATTTTCTGCGCGTTTCGTTTGTTGACGAAGAGTGGGATAAAATGTACTCGACCGATTTATCTCCACGGGTGGCTGCTGGAGATGAGAACAAAAGAACGAAACTTTACGAGAGAGTGATTTCGATTCTCAGGGACGGCGTGAGAATTGGGGACCGGAAATTCGATTTTCTTGCGTTTTCGTCGAGCCAGCTACGAGATAATTCGTTGTGGATGTTTGCTCCGACCGACGGGCTAAATGCTGACGGTATTAGGGAGTGGATGGGAGACTTTTCTTCCATAAGAAATGTGGCGAAATACGCCGCGAGACTTGGTCAATCTTTCGGTTCGTCCACGGAAACGCTTAGTGTCAGCAAGCGTGAGATTGAAGAGATTCAAGACGTGAAAAACGGGACCGAGTATACCTTTTCTGATGGGATTGGGAAGATTTCGGAGGATTTTGCTCGGCAAGTGGCTGCAAAATGTGGAGTTAGAAGTTCCACTCCATCCGCCTTTCAGATCAGGTACGATTAGGGCTGGAAATCGGAACGAAATTCCCGATTTTCCCCAATTTCGATCCGAAATTTTTCTTACAGTGGAACAATATTTTTCATTCCGAATTTTAAAATTCCATTCTTTTACAAAATTATATGGGTCGGAATTGGAATATATATATACGAGATTCCAATTTCCGATCAGATTTGAAGTTACGAAAGTAGTTCCAAAAACTTTTTTTTCCCGAATTTTACACTTAAAATATCGATATTATTAGGAGTTTTATATTTCAGGTGATAAAAAAGTGGAAATTTCCTAATTCCGCCGATACCGATCCTAAATTTTTGAATTTTTTTTTAATTTGGAACGGAGTTGAAATTAGTTTCTCACTTCCGAATAAAAATCGCATTTTTTCCTCCGAAAAAGCTAATTCTGATCCGATCTTTCCGATTTACGCTCCTAGGTACGGTGGCTACAAAGGAGTGGTGGCAGTCGATCCATCTTCAAAGAAGAAGCTTTCCTTGAGACCAAGCATGTTGAAGTACCAATCGGACAACACAAAACTAGACGTACTTGCGTGGAGCAAATACCAACCTTGTTTTCTCAACCGCCAGATCATCACACTCTTATCCACACTCGGCGTAAAAGATCACGTCTTTGAGAAGAGGCAAAGAGAAGCAGTGGCTCAGCTCGACGATGTTTTGATCGATCCAATGAGAGCACAAGAAGCTCTGGATTTAATGTCTCCCGGAGAAAACACACACATTCTCAAGGAAATGCTGAAGTGCGGCTACGAGCCCGACGGCGAACCGTTTCTTTCAATGATGCTGCAAACTTTCCGAGCGTCGAAGCTGCTCGATTTGAGGGTTAAAGCCAGAGTATTCATCCCGAAAGCTAGACAGATGATGGGGTGTTTGGACGAAACGGGTATTTTGAAATACGGGCAGGTGTTTGTGCGATATTCCGGTGCGGTGAAAAGAGGGCTTTTTGATGATTCGTATGATAATAGTACAGCAAACGAGCGTTTCGACCCTGTGAGGGGAAAGGTTGTTGTAGCTAAAAACCCGTGCTTGCATCCCGGTGATGTGCGTGTTTTGACAGCTGTTGATGTGCCGGAGTTGCGTCACATGGTCGACTGTGTTGTTTTCCCTAAAAACGGAAAGAGGTATTTTTTTTTTCTTTTGGTTGTTGATTAGAAAGAAAACATTTTTTTTTATATACTATTTTCTCGAAGTGTAATGTGTTTCAATAACAGACCACATCCGAACGAGTGTTCCGGGAGTGACTTGGATGGAGACATATACTTTGTTTGTTGGGATTCGGATTTGATTCCGACGAAGCAAGTCGAACCTATGGATTACAATCCTGCTCCAACCACACGACTGGACCATGACGTGACAATTGAGGTATATATATATATCTATATATTACATATTTTATGACTTTTTACTCCGAAAATTGTTCGATATTGTTTGATTGAAATGCAGGAAGTTGAAGACTACTTCACAAACTACATAGTAAACGACAGCCTAGGGATCATAGCCAACGCCCACACGGTCTTTGCCGACAAGGAGCCATTAATGGCACTAAGCGAGCCCTGTCTGGAGCTAGCTCGGCTGTTCTCGATAGCAGTCGACTTCAACAAAACAGGCATCCCCGCCGAAATCCCACCTCATTTACGCGTCAAAGAATATCCCGATTTCATGGAAAAACCCGACAAAATAAACTACGCTTCTTCACGTGTAATTGGAAAGCTCTTCAGAGAGGTCAAAGATATCGCCCCTCAAACATCGTCTTTCAGATCCTTCACCAAGGAAGTCGCCAGAAGATCTTACGATCCCGATATGGAAGTTGACGGGTTCGAAGACCACATTGACGAAGCGTTTCTCCACAAAACGGAGTACGACTACAAGTTGGGCAATCTGATGGAATATTACGGGGTAAAAACCGAGGCGGAAGTTTTGAGTGGTGGGATTATGAAAATGTCGAAGACTTTTGACCGGAGAAAAGATGCAGAAGCTATTGGAGCAGCTGTGAGGTCATTGAGAAACGAGGCTAGATCGTGGTTCAAGAAAGGCACCGAAGCGGATGATGTTTATGCAAAGGCTTCAGCTTGGTATTACGTGACTTACCATCCCGATTATTTTGGATGCTATAATGAAGGAATGAAGAGGGACCATTATCTTAGTTTTCCGTGGTGTGTGTACGACAAGCTGGTCAAGATCAAGAAAGACAACTCGAGGAGGGCTTCTCAAATGGCTTCGCTTCGACGGCAGTTCAACGATCGTGTGAGAATTTAGCGATGAGATTTTCTTTTTCTTTTTTTCGTTTTTTTTTTGGATATGTGAATTGACTGTGAGGACTTAATTTGTGTACATATATGAGTGTGCTGTGTGTCTGAAAATATTTCCTTTTGTCTAAAGGCACTCATGTACTAAAAGTCCACTGGTGTGGCAAACTTCCTATTTTCAATATTCCTTTTTTAATTGAAAGTATTTTATTTGAATAAAAAGTAAAGAAATATAAAATAATTAATTGTATACAATAAATATATTTTTTTAAATGTCTTGAATAAAAAAATAATAATTATATTAACGTAACAAAATAAAATTAGTATGGTTCTCATTTTCGTATTACTTTTTAAGTGACTAGTAATTTGTAATTCTTCCCCCAAATCCAAATCTATTAGATGATATATTAGATGCTACACAAAGTGAAATATATTAATCACAAAATCGAGGTTCAAGTAAATTCAAATTCCGAGTTCAAACTTGAGCCTCGAGAGTCGAGACCCGTTGTAATAGATGATCTGTTAAGAGTTCACTACTTTTACTGCCTGTCACTAGTATTAGTAACTAATATAAAGACTTACCTGCTTAATCGTATTGTACGGTAGTTTTAGTCTGGAATCTTTCTGTTTACGGCTCAAAGGCCTCCCTTTAGCCGAAGGATCTCTATTTTCTCTCACATCAGCCAATTTCCAAACGCAGCATCTCGATTCTGTTTCAATGGAATCAAGAAAGTACACTCCGCTCTTTTCTGGGCATTGAGTATTTGACGACGAATCTTCAATGTAGCTGACTACCATTGGCATGTCTTTGAACCTCGACAGGTCATCAGGTACTTTCAGTAGTCGATCTGCACCGGGACTCGATACCTTCACAATAAAAAAAATTAAATAAATTGTTAGCTGATCATTATATGAAAAGAGTGCTAGTTAGTAAAAGTATTACTTCAAGAGCTACATCGTCGGGGATTTCTCCTCTTGCACCAATTTCATCCAGTTTTTTCTTGTATTGGCGACTAAATGACTCGATCTCATCCATTAAGGGGCACCCGAATCTGATTCACGACAGAGAAGACAGCAGAAAATGATTATACATCGGAATTTGGCAAAGAAAAATTCTTTCGACATAGAAATCAAAATTACACTTTTTTTTCCCGTTGACACATGTTCAGTTTTAATACATCTTGAAATTAAGATAAAATTTTAAATGATTCATTCGGAAATTTAAATTTTCATTGCATGAATGCATCAATATAACTGCAGAATTTCCAGAACGAAAAAAATTAAAAAATCTACTGTAGCCATAGGAGAGTCCAAATCTGTATTTAAATTGTGAATACCAAAATATAGCTTAATCCATAGGAGTAGCTTATGATTTTTGTACATGCTTCATTGTGTTTTAAAGTTATTATATTTCTACATTTCGTATAAGTGAGATTACAAGAGAAAAATCATAGTAAAACAGCATAAAATTCAACTGAATAAATTTCAATTTTACTCATCCAACAATTACAATGAATAATGCTCCATAGACAGGGTAAGAAAACCTTACTATGGAACGAAGATATTTTTCAAAGCATGTAAAACTGGTAAACTCAAAAAAAGCAATCCTATAGCAAGATCTAAGACTATTATATGTAAAAAGACTTACTCGTTTGAAAGTTTATCCAGTCGCACGTAAACGTAGCCTCGAGGAGATGTTTTAAATGCATAGAGATTAAAGTCTTCACCAAACTCCAGCAGCACTTCTTGGGCTATGGATAATGCTCTTTCACCCCACGTGCAATTTTGCAGAACAATTCCACCACCATCACCACCATCTCCAACCTAAGATTTACGAAATAATGATCGACTGAAATTTTATGCAAATAAAGAGCTACATTATTTTTATATGTGCCATCAAATTTCGAAGTTGGAACCATACCTCAGGTTCAGCTTCATCCTCTTCCTCCCATGAATCAATCGGTTCGACTTCTCCGCTAGAATTATCTATAGCTTTACACATATATAAAAAGCAAGTTCAATTCGAATATTGTTCAAAATAACTGAAATATCATTTCTTCGATTTAAGTAAAGGAAACCCAATGAACAAAAAATCTGAAAATGGATTGAGGAAAGGGCTCAAAGGCGAGAGAGAGAACTGAAAGTCCATGATTGAATAAAAACTTTGCCACCCGACAAGAGTAGCTTGAGTTGCAGCATTTTGACATCACATTTTTCAATTGTATTCATTCATATAAGATCCCATAACAACACACGTTCACACGTTACCAACCATATAATCTTCCATCTAAACGGGGAAAATTCGAAATTTCTTCTTTCTCTACTGTTAATACAACAACAATGTTGACATATTAATTGGAACGAGTCAATCCATTTTCTCCCGTCAACAATAGCAAAACAACAACACAAAAACATTACCCAAGGAAAAAAACAAAGTTCTTGTTAGGACCAGACATGCACTAAAAAACCTCAAAAACTTGCAATTTCCATTGAGACAAATTATCAAACAGGTAGTAGGCAAAATTCACTACCAAAAGAAAAATGGAGGAAAAGCTTACCATCATCCGAATCTTGGTGGGTCTCCTCACTGATAGATGAAGTAGCATGAAAATGGCGAAGAGGGATAACAGAAGCGAAATATGATGTGGGTTTCAGAGAAATACATCGATTCTTGAATTTATCAGGAATGCGACACAGGCCTGATTCTGAGTACGTTGTTGCTGGTTCATGAACATGGGAGGAAAGAGTTGGAGAAAATCGAATTTTCCTTAAACCATTGTGCTGCAAGAAGTAACAAATCCGACCAGCAATTGAATTTCTCATGCTAAACAGTTAGTTAGTTGCAAACTGGAAAAGGGCTTTCGTACAAATTCACTTCAAATAATTAGAGCGAAGGTTTGTGTGAAATAATGATATTTTGGAATATTTTATCAATTTAATATTTAATAAAAGTTTTACTTCATATTTTATTTTATCAGTTTTCATCCCTCAAGTTTGTAACAATTTCATATTTGGTCCCTTATGTTCATAAAAAACACATTTAGTCACTTGTCTAATCATATTTCAATAATTTGACACTTATGGTATTTTCCGTCAATTTACCATTAATCCGTCTGTTAAGGTAATGACGGGCACACGCTTGATTCCATTAGTACTAACGAATAATTGACGAAAACAACTAAAGGTGATGAATTTTTGAAAAATAGTGGACAAAGTATGTTGTTTGTAAATATGGAGGACCAAATATGAAATTGTGCAAACTTGAGGGATGAAAACTGTATTTTTCTCACAGGAATGTACTTAATAGTTAATATAGTTCTCATGGTACAAAATTAAATATTAAAAACATTTAATAAAGTCACAACGCAAGATATCCAGCAAGTATAATGCAATCGACAATTTCCAGTTTATTTAAAAAATAAATCACTGTTAGATAATATATATAAGAAATCTATTAATCCCAAAATGGTTGAGAAAAATCATTACATACATCAATTTTAGTGGCTGAAAAATAACTACAAACGTAGAATAGTCCGAAGGGTATCGGAAAGGTTTTGAATGGTTTGTTGTTCCTGCGTTGCTTGCATTTCTTGAAGTGGCATCTCTTCGTAACACCTGCATACGAATACCAAAAACGAACTTAAGAAACGAGATTAATGTGTATAAGATAGAGAGATGCGTTGAACAGAAATTCGTACATTTTGTGGTATGCTAATGCCTGAGCAAGATTCATCAGAGTTGGACTTGATGTAAGCCTCTGACATACGCTTTGAGGAAGAGGTACCTGTAATAAACCCGATAAATTGCCCAAATGCTTTAAAAAGAAAAATAAATAATAAAAAAAAAAAGGAAAAATAATCAAGAATGGAAATATTCGAGAACCTCATTTTGTCTGCTTCTACCCTTCTTAGGCTGAGCATCACCGGAGAAGAGCTCCTGAATTGCTTCTACAGCTATGTTTCCACCATTATCGTGCTGCCACCCACCGAGCACATTGTCGGACAAGAGCGCAATCGGGGAAATGTCAGTTGCCCTTAAAAATGGAATCGGCACTGTATTACCAGCGGTGTATATAGACCAGAGCTGTTCCAATAGATTGTTACCAAAATAAGCGTGTGTTAATAACCATACAAGCGATCTAACTGTCGACGAAAGGAAAAAGAAAAACGGGAACTGTATTATATCTAATGTGTAGAAATCGAAGATGAAAGATCAGAAGCACCTACCTTATCTAGTGCTTTTCTACTGACGGTCTCACTAGTAACTAAAGAATCTTTTGATCCAAAAGTCACTTGGGGAATGCTATTTGCCTTGATATTCTGCTCGGGTGATTGCAATCCAGAAACAGAAGGGCTATCCGTCCTAACAAGTTATTGTGCAAGAATTAGTGTACATCGAATTTCGGGACGCAGTTTATAAATACACAGTATCTGAAGGACATTTCCTTATGTAAAATCGCAAGAAATCCAACTACTCCAGTTTGAGATGAATGATCGAGAAAGCTTAAGAGAGTCCAAAGACGTGCGGATCAAGTTAGAAAATAGAAGGCAGAGAAATCACTCGTATTTGATTTTCACATTTGCGAGCAAAATGGAAAAGGAAACCCGATCAACTAAAGGAGCAATGTTAAGGTGTGACGACTAAGCATATTTATGATAAAATTAACAACTAATAATTTAGAGTTACGAAGGAGTACCAAGAGTCGATTGCTTTATCCCCAAGCCCACTGATAAAAGGTCTTTTTGCATCATGTCCAGTAGCAGGAGAGGATTCTTCTACTCTTGTAGATGCTAGCAGAGTAGCTGTTTTACTAATCTCGACTCTCTCATGGATTACTACTGTTCCAAAATCACCTGGTCAACAGTTTCGGTCAGTGCACTAAGAAAAATTAAAGATTCAGACTTAATAACAAGGGACATACAGACAGCACAAAACACACACACACACACACACTTAAGGAAAAAAGAAGCAAAAAACTAGAAAAAAGAAAAGCAGGGGCAAGAAATATTCAGTTAAGCGCATCGGGAGCTGTTTGTGCAGTTCCCAAACCAAGCCTAGAAACTGCCACTATGGAAGCAAGTTGAACAGGTTACGATGAGATCCTTTTACAATTAAAAGCTACGGCTCTTACACTTACAAATGTTAGTTGGATGCACTATGATGAGGAGCTAGTCGAGTAAAGTCAATTCATATTCGGGCTACTTGGGTAACCTATGTTGTAATTTTTACTAAACACTTTTTTCACAACATCCAAAATCAACTGAACTCTTTTAACTCAAACTCAATCGTGCTCAAATAAAACAATAATTTTGTGTACAGAGTCCCACTAACGTCTAAAATTGCCATGCCTACTTTTCTTATGGCCTGATGACTGACAATAGCTTATGATGATGTTATAGAAATATATTCGAATACATTTCAGTAAGCGGGAATGGTACCTGCTACTGCTGTTTGTACAACATCAGCTGTGTCCAGTTTTTCCTTTATGCTAACAGCAACTGTTCCAGTGGTACTACGCTGACCATCCTGAGGTCTGGATGGAACAGTACTGGCAATGGCTTCATTTGATGTTGCACCTCCCTGCAGTTGAAAGTTACAACATGACGAACATAATAACTAGAAAAATTATGTGTCTCCTCGAATCAGAAAATAAGTAAAGGGTTTTTCCGGACTAGATTTGGTTAGAGATAGAGAGAATTTAAACAAATAAAAGAGAGAATTGGTTCTACCCCTTCTCTTGGCAGTGTTGCGTCTGATGAAACGTCCTCTGCTTCCACCGCCATTGTTGCCCTGATAATTTTCGCCTTCTCAATCTTTGGCAGCATCATTGATGCTCCACTTCTACATTTTTCAATGAATTTGTGCTACACATGAGGAAAAAAGCAAGTAATAGACATAAGAATGAAAGTACAAGAGATATTTTTTAACATGTGTACAGTCGTATCAAGCTTCGAGACAATTAGCCTTTTATTCGTTTCATTATTTTTGCATGTTTACTTTTGCACAGTCTTGCCGATATTCATCCATGGTTAAAATATAAAATTGAATTCAGAGAAGAATTCAGTTTCAAGTATGAGATAGATGTTTACTCGTAGCCCTCATATACATGATATCATACTTCTGCTATATGAGTTATATTATTGAGAAGCAACAGCTACTCTGTACTGGAAGGCACTAATAGCATAGTTTAGGAGTATAAAATTGAATTCAGAGAAGAATTCAGTTTCAAGTATGAGATGTTTACTCGTAGCCCTCATATACATGATATCATACTTCTGCTATATGAGTTATATTATTGAGAAGCAACAGCTACTCTGTACTGGAAGGCACTAATAGCATAGTTTAGGAGTCGTTTACATTTCTTACACAAACGACATTAGTGTCATAACTGGGCAGGAAAAACGTACATTACAAGAATAAACATTTAACATTTGTAAATCAAATTCAAAACATGGAACCTAATTTTGTGAAACACTGAGTTTCGGTTTTTCTTTGTTTTTTTAGAGCAAAGTTTCGGTTCACTTGATCCCCAGGTTCAATGTGGAAGTTCTAATGAGAGTAAACCTCTGAGTGGAAGCAACAGCAGGTACAGCAAAAAATACAAATTGCACGTGAAACGCCGCTTAACTTACTAAAATAGTGCACGGGTCCAGTTAGAGATGAATGGTTAATCAACATTGAGGTATTATGACTACCTTCAACATTTCAGCTGCTGTAGGCCGAAGTCGTGGGTCCTTTGTCAAGCATTTAGCAACGAAGTCGTGGAACAAAAGTGACCTGCAACAATGAATTATCAAATCAGCAGACCACAGAAAATATTAATGTGGAAGCATTCCGCAACTACCGTATCCTAAACATCTGATCATATTAAGATATAAGTTCTGTCAGAAACTAAGCTCCCCTTCATCAATGTTCTCCATATATTATTTACGAAAAATGAAATATTACCAAATAACAACCCATGAGAGCAACTAGTTACTGGAAACTAGGAGGCTACCAGCAAGAATTATAACAATATATGTGTAACACAATTTTGAATAAAATATGTGTATCTAATGTCAGCATTTCATCTACAAGAAAATTTCAGGAAAGTTGCTGAAAACTAAAAGAAAGTTTCAAAGACGAACCATTTCTCTTTATCCTCAAGCATCGGAGCAGGTTCAATGTTAATCATAAACAACACCTACCACAAATTTGAATTTGTTAGCACCCAAAAGCAGTAAATCATAAACAAGGAGAGGCCAGCGAGTAAAAGCTATGCCATGTAACTTAACTAACAGCAAAGGCTACACTTTTGTAGGACATCTCTCTCGGTCACTTTTGCAACAGCTACAACAAAAACTTGAGTGCCCAAGCTATTGCAGGATAAACTACACAACTTAAAGTGGTCTAACTTATTCTAGTATGTTAATTATGTGAAGAATGTGAAAATTTAGGAACTAGCCAAGAAGATGTAAAAATACACAATAGTGCATATATCCACTTCTAAAGTTGGCTATAAGTAACATTTGCCAGCCCTTTTTTCAGCCACTATTTGCTAACTTAGTCGTAACTTTAGTATTTTCATCACATACAATCTTAGTGAACCTTAGCCAGCTTATTTCTTGCTGGAAAACTAATGTTGGGCATATTTTCCCTTATGCTGTTTCAGCATTTCATTCTCAGCACAAGTTAAATTTTTCATCAGAGATAGCATCAATACTGCATCTTGTTTAGGCAATACCAAAAATAGATACAAAATGAAATCAAAATCATAAACTGATGTCTGGGGGCTTACTCTCATAGGATGAACGGTTGCTCTTGGAGGAAGTCCCTGCAGAAACCATTTTTAAAGCAACAGCAACTTAGCATCAATGATGATTGTGATTTACACAACATTTGATAGGAATAAAAGTTACCAGCCGCAAGAACAAGAGGATAAAAGATGGCTGAAACTAGACCAAATGGATGAAACATACCTCTGCCATTTCAATTGCAGACACTCCAAGAGCCCACACATCTACCTGGGATAAGAAACGAAAGAAGATATTTAAGAGTGAAAAAAGAATGAGCTGGCAATACTTCTACCAGTTACATAACGGCATTAAAACAGATGATATACCTTTCCATCATAACGACTTTCTTGAATAACTTCAGGAGCCATCCAGTGTGGTGTACCGATGAACTAAAATACCACCAATGATAAAAACTTTTAATTATGAGATAGACCAAAAGAGTAAAACATTTGCAGCAGAGCGATACTTAGATAGACAATATAAAGTCACGTGTGAAATACACAAAATAATTGTTAATAGATTCATCACACTATGGCCTCTTACAGAAAACATCATGACAAATAAACTAACAACGGAAATACTATATTTAATACATACCGTGTTACGCTTGGACATAGTTCTTGTTAACTGTGCAGCAACTCCAAAATCACCTGTAAATGTTATCTATTCTTAGTTACTGTTCCGTGAACAATGTTTTAATACGCCAGGCAATAAAGTATCTACACTACAAATCCAAACTGAAATCCATGATCGGGTCAAATAAAACTTGATTGCCTGGCCCAACAACGAACTAAAAGTCTTCATGTCTATTGGAAAAAAGAAAGGTTTGAGACACTTCTAGGTGAAGTCATATTCTTATGACTTACCCAACTTGACCTCTCCCTGCTCAGTCAACAACACATTACCACCTTTGATATCTCTGTGTACTTTAAAAATTGAATGCAGATATGACAGACCCTGCAGGAATATATTCGCAGAAATATTATTTACTAAACAGCCATATCAATACAGCTAGCATGTCGCAGAATAATTATCTTTTTGTACAAGTATTATATTAGCAAGCAATGTCCATTAAATAGGGGTACCTTCAAAGCTTCTCTGCAAATATATGCTATTTGATGCTCCTCAAGAGCCTCGTCAGTAACATTCATCAAGTCAGCAACACTTCCACCCCCACAGTACTCCATTACTATCTGGCAAGAAATCGGATATATCAACAAACTTCACTTTACTTAATATCTAAACAGTTATCATCAGATTCACAGCCTCAGGCACATTTGGGAGTCAGTGTCAGAACTGGTATTCCCAACTCCAGTGCACACCCAAAAGAAAAAACAACACCGCAAAACCCACAAACAGCATAAGAAACAAATATAAGTTTGATGCACTTCTTCATACCCAAAGATATTCTTCTCCTTGGTAGCTCCCAAGATAGCGAACAACATTAGGATGACTGCACTGCTGCAACATCTCGATTTCACCACGAATTTCTTCATAACCTTCCTCCTGGAAAACATAAAGCAGTTAGTCAAGTTGAATATCATTCACGTGATTAGTGCTGATATCAGATGCCGTGACAACATTACAATCATACCCCTTCAGACAACGATATTACTTTGATAGCAACTAGTTCTGAAGTCCGTATATCGCGAGCTTTGTAGACTGACCCATATGAACCCTTTCCTGTTTGATAAAGCATCCAGTGTCAACTTAAGTTTAACTGCCACTAATTGAAATAAAAAAAAAATGAAAATAACCAATAAATTGACACGCAGTTCATATTCCTTCTACGGGGCTGCAATTCACTGCTAGGAATTTAGTTTAAATCTAGTAAATCTCACACATTTTCTATGAGAAAGTTTTGGGCAGTTCATTTATTTGAATCCTTATTTTCATCCCTTTATTGAGATGGAACAAATAGACGCTGAAACCATAATACCCCAACCCTGTAAGCAAGAGATCTACTGCAATAAAGCCTCTTCAATAAAATTACTTCATATATTCTATTGTGACTTGTGAACTTAACAAAGTCAGTAATGAATAGAGGCCATATAAACAGGGGAATACTTCGACCTGGTAAGCAAGATATAAAATCATTCCATTTATTCTATTGTGAACTTAAAGAAATTAGTAATGAATAGAGTAGCTGTAAACAGAATAAGCTTGGCTATAAAGGAAGCGAAGTACTTAATGCATGCAACGAAAGTTTATTCTTTCTTCCTATCTTGGAAAGGTTCATCCACTAACATACCTCCAGAAAAATTTCAACCCTTTTTACGGAAGCATTACGCAATATTCAAAACAGGCGGTCACTAAATTGCTACACACAGTATTTACCAAATAATTCGCGATTTCAATATAACCACCGCCAAAACAAGACTTAAATAGCCAGGTTTTCAAACTTAAAAATCTTTACCGAGCTCATGGAGCAACTCATACTTGGTCAAAGGATCCTCTCTGATAATACATTCCGGTATCGAGCTCGACGATACTTTCCCACTTCCCTGCTGCCTAAATTGCGCAATCCCACTCCCACCACTCCCTTCACCGCCGCCACTGTTTTTCCTCTGCCTCCCATACCCCATCCCACCAACGCCGCCCACCTTCTGCATACTCTCCACGGCCCTCCTCATAGTCCCCCCACCACCTCCACCTCCACCTCCACCACCACCTCCTCTCCTCACCATCGTCCCCATTCCCCCCTCCTCGTCATCTTCCTCCTCCTCCTTTTCATCATCATCCCCTCTATTCCTCACCACAAAAGTGGAGAAGTCCCCAGCAGCATTCTCCTCCTCATTCCCAATTTTGCTGCTAGGGCTTCTCCGATCCCAAAACGGAGCCGCGGATGTGCTCCGCGGCTTCGCATACGGCGAATTGACATTGGCGTTCCTGTCCGGGTAATTCGATCTCCTCCGATCAGGTTTCACAATCATCGTTCCGGAGATTGACCCAGCGGCGGGCGAATCGTCGTCGGATTCTGAAACGTCGTCGTCTCCGCCGCCGCCGAAGTCCTTGGGGACGCGCTTCAATAGAGGAGGGAGCGATTCCTCCTCGTCTTCGAGTTCGTCGTCCTTGTACACCATCGTGGAGTATATGTCAGAGGAGCTCGGTTCCGGTTCTCTCGATGCGGCGTCGTCCTTGTCGTGAATTACGACTGTGGAATATAAGTCGGAATTCTTCGGCGGCGGAGGCTTCCGCGGTCGCCGGAACCTCGGCGAGAACTCCATTTTCGTTAATTTGTCGATCGGAGCGTGCGCGCGTGGGTGTACGCGCTGTGCACGAGCTGGAAAGTGTGGGAAGTTTTACTGCAGTTCTTCCGATCCAGTACAAACCGCTCTTTGTCTAAAATCGTGCTGCCGCAATCTTTAAAAGCGTTCTCAATAACTACTTGATTTTTAGTTATTTGAAAAAGGAAAGAAAAAAACATTGAAAAAAATTACAAAAAATGATGTATTTATTTTAAAATAATACATAAATTCAATAGATCCTTGAAATTCTCTGAACTAAAATAGTGAGAAAGGAATATATTTACTCGGCTAAATTAGATGTTATACTTGGTTATTTACACTGATTGAATTTAAATCGCAAATCTACACATAATCATATACGATGTATTAGATGTTATACTTGCTTAGTGGGTAGTTATTTAATCAAATCTACGGATCAAATACAACCGACAATTTTTTTTAGTTATTTACTAGATGAAACACTTCTATCTAAATTTTTATTTTTTACAATGACATTTATTCGACCCAAGTGCAGCCAATGAAAAACAACAACGCTGTATATGTTGGCTAGACAGAATGATATTCTGGCACATAGAAGCCCCTTGTCCAAAACAAATCAGCCAACATTGGTGTCCTAACAATGGCACCTCTTCCGACCTGTCACATGAGCCACTCGCGGTACTCTGCATTGCCCATATGCCTATCTGCCTCCAAGTACAAATGATAGATAAACGATTCCGAACTCCGCGAAAACAACAAAGTTCCGACGAAAAAATGGTTTGTATATGCATCATTCCCATGCCAAGCACTCAACAAGACAATAATAATTCCTATAAACCAGAAAATCTTATAATAACCGTAGGCCGTTTGAGGAATATTGCACGGCCGCCTACACCTGGCCCATAAACTTGCAATACCATACGCTAGCAACGAAAACTGGGCCACCGATTTGTACTCCATGCAACAAAACATGGTTTCGGAGATCGAGACAACGATGATTTCCATGCATGTGGATTCCAAGATTCTTTTGGATAGTGGTGTGAAGTAGCTTTTGTGCCTATAGCTCGGTGAAAATAACAGCAGACGGTAGAAAAGATCCGTTGTTACGGTTGCGAAGATTGGAAGTATGGGTACTACTGATGAGAAGTAGAGTAACTTTCTGAAGATTAAGTGCAGCCCAAGTACTGAGTTGAAGATTGAAATTATTAGCCACAAATCTTCTTCCCAAGATTTCGCCATTTTTTTTTTTTGTTCTTGTTTTAGTCGTGTAATTAATTAATGCGGTGCAAATAGAAGATTTGGCATAGGATTTGTAGTCAAGAATGATTGTATTGTTGGATTTTGTGGATGGCATGTTCTATGTCCGAATCAACAATCCAGCCGCCCCGGCATGCAGAAAACCTTTTTTTTTTGCCTATTTTTTTTTTATTGATTTTCATTTATGTATGTTTAGATTATAGTATTTTCGCCGTTCAATTTATTTTTTCTCGATCTTTCGCCCCCCTAACAAATCACCCTGGATCCGACCCTGGGTGCATTACCCTTTATGATAATAACTTAACTGGGACTACATCAAGACAAAATTCAAACATGTCTAGTTACAAGATAAGGTAGTCCTTTAAATAATTGTCTACATTCCCTCACATATGTACATTTAGACGAATAAGTTTAATATTTTTTACAAGTATGCGTTTATTTGTTTAAGTACACAACATGGATGGCTACAACTTTAGTCTGCAAAGTTGGCATGTTTTTTTTCCTTTTTTATTTCTATTTACCGCCGTTAATAAAATAAAATGTCATGTTACCATAGTTTAAAACATCGAGTCCATTCGTCTATTTCTCCGTCAACAAATAACGGTCAGTTGTGGGGTAACTACAATTTTGATCCCTCAAAGTTAGCACATTTTTTTTTTACTTTTTGTCCCCTATTTATCTCCATCAATAAAATATTGATATGTGTTTTCGCTACGTATAATAAATCGTAAGTATATAGTATCGTGAATTTATGATATCGATTCACATGGACCTTTAGATTCAAATATTGAGTAATGTAATTATATTATCCTAATATTATCTAGGCGGTCGTAATTAACCCTAAAAACTGAAAACAAATAGAGATCTTAGACATCAAGTACGGAAAATCGTAAATGTAACAATAACAATTCTAATTGGAAGGCTTCGATTTGTAAAAAGGCTTATAGGATAAATTTCACTAATGTACTATCAAAGACGATCTACAAACCCGATATCTAATGTCAAATTCATATCTGCTAACCCAAACGTTAAAATATTCTAACCAAAGTTTCCAGTGTAGTTATAATCTACTTGCAGATCCAACATCTCTGTTTAGAACTGCTATAATGAGAGCATTCACGTCAAGTCCTTAAGAGCTACCTGAATTGTATCACGTCTCCGAAAGTGTTAAATTATTGAAATACGAGGGGGACTAAATCCATTTTTTTACCATAAGGGACCAAATATGTAATCGAGGTAAACTTAAGGGGTGAAAAATATAATTTTCCCTATCTAACGGGCTCAAACCCAAGTTAAAAAATTGTCTCTATACAACTGGCCCAAATCGGCCACAGTAAACCCAATAATCACCAGTTTAATCCGTTCTCCACCGTCCTTACTTGCTGCTCCTCCGATCCTACTTCCTACTGCATGTTCGGCGACTCCCGCCGCCGCGCCTCCGTCACCATCTGCCACGAATCGCCGTCCACCACTATTTCAATACAGCACAGAGTGAGTCGAAGGAGAAATCCTTCTCTTGTTTATTTGATTTATCTTCGCGATTTTGATGCGAGATCTACCTGCTTCGTGTATTATTCAATTACTAGCTAGAATCACTCATATGAGAATTTATAGATCGATTCAACAAATCAACACTGCCATTTAAATCAATTTCAATCGGTTTTTTTAATTTTTAGCCCCTTTACTTGTAATGGTAAATTTTGCAATTGATTTTTTTGGTGCATGTCGATAATGTTCAAAGTATGAGATTATTGTTGTTGCTGTTGTTGGTATCGGATACGATAGTCGAGCGCATAGGTTAAAAAAGAATAACATGTAACCCTTGCATTTGTGTTGTGTTTTTTGAGTTTGTCGATTTGATGTATCAGGAAAATGATAGGAGGTGCTCGAGTTCGACTGAAGGGATGGCAGCAGGCTGCGGTCGCAGTTGGATCAGCTGTGGGAGCGTTATTGGATCCACGAAGAGCTGATCTGATAGCTGCACTCGGGGAGACGACTGGAAAGCCTGCATTCGAGAGGGTGCTTGAGAGGATGAAGATGAGTTCAGAAGGAAGGGTGAGCTTTTGATTTATTTCTTCGATTTCTTAGCATTCTATCGATAATGGTTCGACTTTTACACCATCCTCCACGAGGAAAGAAATCTTGTTTTTCGAGTCTCTTTAGTTGATTTGCAATTCTCGTATTTTGTCAGCATTATGTAGATTATAAATGAAATGATTCTTCGTATGAAGATTAGTATATTCGATGTTGTTAATTTGGAACAAGTAATACATAAATGTAAGTAGCAACTTGCTAATGCACATCTATATAGTGGGATTCATTTGGTAATGGGCAGATTTCAAGGAAAAAAGCATGAGATAATTTGTTGTAAAATTGCAGCTCGTAGTCTTTCCCTAGTCAGCTTCAAACTTTATTGCAGTCTAATATGAGTTTACTGGATGTGTATCTATCTGTCGTCCTTGGAAATAAAATTGAGTAACATTAGCTGGCGTTAAACGTGTTCTTGAATGAAACCTTTAGCTGCAAGGATATCTGTTGTTTCTATTTGCTGATCTAGTTGGCTCTACTAGACAATCTTGTATGCAATTTTAGGATCCAGCTTGTTGGAAATTGATTTTCGAAGCATTGGCCTCGTTAGAATCCTGATTTGTTTAATCATCTAAAACGTCCAACATCATTTGCAAATTGGATTTTATTATAAAAAACGTAGATTTGGAGATGTGGAATCATAGGGGCAACTTTGTTATCCGTATCTCTGAAATCTTTGTATTATCTTAGTAAATGAAATAAACTTAACCAATTTTTGTCTCCCTGACAGGCTGTACTATTGGATCGCCCTCGTGTTATCTCAGCTAATGTAGGCCATGCATGGGACCTACCACCCAACACATTCGGTGCTGCATATGCAAAATTCATGGGATCCAGGAATTTCTCCCCCGATGACAGGCCACCAGTCAGGTTCATGGAAACAGACGAAATAGCCTACGTGGCAACACGTGCGCGTGAGGTGCACGATTTCTGGCACACCCTTTTTGGGCTGCCTACTAATTTGATCGGTGAATCGGCTCTAAAGGTGATAGAATTCGAGCAGATGCTGCTTCCCATGTGTGCACTATCGGTTGTAGGGGGTGCTGCTCGATTCAGTGATAAGCAGAGGAAATTGTTCTACCAGCATTATTTTCCGTGGGCTCTTCGAGCAGGCATGAGGTCCACTGATTTGATGTGTTTGTATTATGAACGGCATTTTGACGAGGATTTGGAAGATGTTAGGCGGAGATGGGGAATTGTTCCTGCTCCTCCTCCTCCACACGCACCATGAAATTGATGTATGTTCACGCATTTTCTTGAAATTTGTTTTTGGGATGTGGTAATAAAACACAAACTTTTCTTGCAGAGGATTTTAGATCAAGTTCTAGCTAAATCTTGTATAGAAGTTTTACTTGTACGCATATTAAGGCATTTTGTAAGCTTTTTAAACTTTGACGAGCGCTGTCTGAAACTAAATTACTAAATTTCGGAAAAACAAAATTAGGAAATATAGATATCGAAAAAAATTACTACTACACATTTTTGCTCGAGTATAACAAACTGATAAGAGCATGAGATGCAAGATATTAATATACCGTTGTCATTATTTTTATACAAACGAAGCATTTGATAATCGATACATGCTTATACATCCAGGCATTTAGTCGTCATATTTTCAGACAACACATTGAAGAGCGATCGGAGTATTAGATGACAATTCACAAACATTGAGCAGAAAAAAAAAAGGTCCCATAAATTTCACAGAAATTGACACAATATTAGATGCAGATACTGTAATTTGACGTAATAGACACGAAAAGTTGCAGTGTGCCTAATTAATTACTGCCACCGCCAAACAAGTAACCCAAAGAAGAACCTCCGCCTGGAGCGGCATGAACTTTTGTTGATGGTCGATCCTGGAATGAGTCGATTATTCATTAAACCAAATGACAAATAAATCGTAAGCAATGTAAACTCAAAACCAATTCATAAAAAAAATTTAAGGAACTAAATCAGGTACCTACCGTTATCTCACACACGCACAAAAAAAAAAGAGTTGTTTCAGTGGAGAAATACCGTAATGAAATTGCAAGTATTTTGACCGTCGGCTCTGATGTAGTTGTTGTTAGTGCTACTATGAATACCCGCAGGAATTTGCTTGCTGATATCTACCGGCTGAGGAGGAGCGGCATTAGGCTTTGGCGAAGGTTCTTTAATTGCAGCTGATCTGTTTTCACTCGGAGCAGCTTCTGCTTTTTGCACCGCTGCTTTTGGAGCTTCACCGCTTCCAAACAAATACCCCAACGAGCTCTGTCCTCCACCGCTGCTAACCCCACGACCCATTTCTCCTACTCTTCAAATATCGGAAAATATAGACTATTAAAGAAAAGCAGATTGAAGTAATAAGCAGAAGCTAATCAAGACCAACTTTTTTTGTATCTTCAGATAAATGACTAAAATCCCATGTAACCCGTTTTTCGAATAAATGACTATCCAAACATCGGAATGTGATGAGTTCTAAGACGAACTTTCCAAGCAACACAAATTTCTCCTAATGCATGAATTCATGCAATTACTATTATCAAGAAAACTTTAAAAAAAATCAAGAAAGCAAGCTTCTTTTGCAACTTACACATACATCTATACACTTCGCGAAAAACGAGTAAACCAATCGAAATTTCCGAAAAAAAGGCGCAATTCGACAACAATCGGACAAAAAGCTTAGTTCTTTATATTACCCTAACACGGTGCATTAACCATCAATATTATTTAGCAATCATAAAATTAAATATGATAATCAACTCAAAAAGCCCGAGAACAACATCTCATCTCATCATGAAATACTAATCATAATCAGAAAAATTAATAGTAAAATCAACACACAATCAAAGCCCACAAATGAAACCAGCAATTAAACACCTTTAATCAACAAAAACAAACAGCATAATCAAGAATATAAAACTGCAAACCCTAGAGAGAGAAACATGTGAATTTAAGTGTTTTTTCTTTCCAGTTACCTTTTGTTTGCTTGATCAGATCTAACAGAGGGGAGAGAATTTGAGGCTACACTGCAGATACAGAGTATTTTGAGTATGGAGCCATGAAAGTATTAATTCAGATCAAAATTACTGCTTCCAGTCATTTATTCGGTCTTCCAGGTCAGTTTATCACTGTAGACTGTGGATTTTAGTGGAAGGTTGATCGGTTAGTGATGATGTCGGAATGGAGGGATAAAATTTGGAGTGGAGATAGACATTTTCCGTAGGGGAAAAGTAGGGAGACGGTCTTCACGTTTTATACGTGCAGACTGTGCAGTAGAGTAATGATTTTATTTACTTTAGAACTCCCCAAACTTTAGTGAAATATCAAAATGTACCCAAATACAGAGATGGAAGTACTGTATTGTCCCTCATCCACATATCAGTAATAATAATAATAAATAAAATTGTCTGAATATATGACAATAACAATTATAAACAAAATAATAATATTAACTTATTATAATAAAATTTATTAATGATATTTAAACTACAATACCAATAGCAACATGTACACAAATCTGATAATACAAATCTACTTCGCAAAAGATTATATACCATTAATTGCCACAAAATGAAATTGATCGTTAAGGAAATGAGACATTAATAAGAAAAAAATTAGAGAAGAAA